AAGAGTGACTCCTCGAATGAAGATGGATCCAATTAAAATGTTATATTGATATTCTAGATTTTTCTTGTTGTCAACCAATCACATTAAAATACTGAACTTGAAAGTCCTGGAATACTATTGTAAGTTTTTTGGGGGGGTTGCTCCAGAAAGAACATCCACTGTAACAGAAATGTGCCAAATCAAAGATGGGGAGCTTCCTGCTATGGTGAAAAAGAGAGCAGTCAAAATAGCTTCTATTTCTTCAGATTTAATATTTCAAAATGAATTATCTAATATGTACCAGTTTTTCTTTATCGTATTTCAGTCATATCTAAATAACAAATTACTTTTAAGAATTTCAGATAGGACAGCAGGTGACTGACAGGTGCAATAGATTGAAAATAAGTTCAGCAAGACATTCTCAGAAGACTTAGTCATTTAAACATGAAATTTTAATTCAAAACAAACATATTTCCACATGTTGTATGAAAGGGGCAGGAATTTCTGCATGTGTAGTCTATGAAATTAAAACACATTAAGAAGTTTGAGGTTGCATTGTTGCATGTGTTGCATGGGATTTTAACATGCATTATAAGACATTTCTTATTATTAAAAAACTTTATTTACATATTGAACACATTTATGTTTTCCACATGTAAACACACGTGGTTTGTATGTTTTGTTTTTCACCTTGCAGTTAGCTACCAAAATGAGTTCAATAAGTAATTCTCCAATAAACTCAAGAAAAGTGAATAGCATGTCATGCAGTTTTTGTGTTATCCTTGCGTAGATTGTCTGCTATTATGTGCTGTGCTGCACAGTGATGCAGGAGTAAACATATACAATTATCCTATTGATAGTGGGAGGAGATAAAGGTTGGCTTCATTTGTCTGACTAAGCTTTAAGCACAGCATTTGAACCTTATAAACAAAGGACCAAACCATCAGGAAGCCTAATGCTTAATAATTAAACACAGAGTGAGTCTTCAGGCTGAATCCTCTCGTGGTTCCTGTTCTGAAAGACAGTCAGGACTACAGTCATTGGTTAGGGCAGAGAAAAAGGCAGAAAATGTTAGACACATCTCTGCAGGCTTGGACAGGTAACACATTCTCACATCAATCAGGCTGCTGAACAAGAGCATCATAAGAAGCTTGTCATAAGCAATTACTGCTGTATTATTATTTTATTAATTCAGCACCATTACATTTCTGCTAAATATGATTTGAGTTTATTACTGATTGTATAACCTACTGTTTTACATGGAGTATTTTTTATTGGTGTTTTACCAAAACAGTAATTCATTTTTTATATAACTGCATAAAAAAAAGTCTAATCTGAACTTATTTCAAAGCATCAGTTACACTTTATTTAACAGATTTGAAACTTAAAGCCACTAATATATGATGGTGTAACATTGTAGCCAAAGCTAAACAGCAGTATATAAGTAATTGTAATCATCTCCAGCTGCAACACTGACATGATACACATCAATAAATCAATAATTATCAGCAGCACAAGCAGTTCTTTTACTTAAAGAACATTTACTGTGGGTATGTCATAAACATTTTGCTAAAGCTAAATTTTGTGTCATAATTTCTGCATTTAGGCTGAGCATTGTGCTCATGGCTACCCATCTGAAATATCCTGGAAACGTCCTCGGTTTCTAAGACCACATTCTGTCATTTTTCACACACAGACTACATGGTCACAGCTCATAAGAGGAAACCCTTTCATTGTTTGAATGAACTTTTACTCCCTTGATTCATTTCAACCTTATTCCACTGTTCCCTCAAATCTACAGAGTTTTACAGCTGATTATTCAGCTGCTATCAACACCATTTTACAAACAAGATCAACATTTAGCCCCTAAAAACCTGGTACCTTGTGTTGATTAGAGAAAAAGAAACCAAACTTTAATTATTTAATTATTTTGCTGTTTTATTTCATTTGTTTCATATGAAACTCTGGTGGTCTGAATCTGTGCTTTGAATACTGAAGTTGGTATGAGGGAAAAACCCTAAACGGTGGTGTTGACTGCTCATTTGTGGGTTTTGATTTGAAATTAAAATGAACACTAGATATATCTTTTAGATATATTTTAATCAATGGGCAATAG